TTCATAACCTTATAAACCCTCTCCATCTTAAGCTCCGCCCTCACGTCCATATATGGTCGCTTCTGCTTCACATAATGGTGCCGACGTCTACTTCTTTTCTTGAGTGTACTTTAAAGATTTGCTGCTTCCTTCAGCAGCTTTTGTTTTACTCAAAGGCTCAAACATGATTCATGTGAAACCCCTCCCTCCCTTACAGTTAGCCCCGCCTCCATGTGGGGGAAGAGAGATGGCCCCGCCCACTCAGGGTTGCTGTGACTAGAGGTATAATGGCGTCACAAAAAAACAGAAAATCAACATTGAGAAGAATCTTGTTTTCTCATATTTGTGTTCTTACTTTTAATTATTTAGATAAAAAATAATTCTTCAGTTTGGACGGTTTGTTTGTTTTCCTTGAATTGTTCATCGCCTTTATGCCTCTATAAGCTCCGCCCCTGAATTATTTAAAAAGTATGTTGACATTAACTAAACATATTTTTCCCCTCATGTGACGACGAGTCTGACGTCAAGTCGGGAAGTCGGGCGCCTTATTCTCTTCAGAGTTGTTGAGTTGTTGTTCCGACTTGAGCAGGTGTTCATGTGCATTTTACAACTAGGAAACTCCCTTTTCCGATTTGTCTGACACCACATGAATGCACCATGAGCCTCTGGGTGAAACAGTGCTAACAAAGAGCTCAGAACAACAAACCCAGAGGGAGTTTGACTTCACTCTATCACCCTATATAAATCAGATCTGCTATAGTAATGTTTGAAGATATCATTGCTTTTGAGGGGCCCCTGCTTTAGGGACCTGGGGGGATCCTGTGACTGAATGAACCTGCATTAGGACCTGGGGGGATCCTGTGACTGAATGAACCTGCATTAGGACCTGGGGGGATCCTGTGACTGAATGAACCTGCTTTAGGACCTGGGGGGATCCTGTGACTGAATGAACCTGCTTTAGGACCTGTGGGGATCCTGTGACTGAATGAACCTGCTTTAGGACCTGGGGGGATCCTGTGACTCAATGAACCTGCTTTAGGACCTGGGGGGGATCCTGTGAGTGAATGAACCTGCTTTAGGACCTGGGGGATCCTGTGAGTGAATGAACCTGCTTTAGGACCTGGGGGGATCCTGTGACTGAATGAACCTGCTTTAGGACCTGGGGGGATCCTGTGACTGAATGAACCTGCTTTAGGACCTGGGGGGGATCCTGTGACTGAATGAACCTGCTTTAGGACCTGGGGGGGATCCTGTGAGTGAATGAACCTGCTTTAGGACCTGGGGGATCCTGTGACTGAATGAACCTGCTTTAGGACCTGGGGGGATCCTGGGGGGATCCTGTGACTGAATGAACCTGCATTAGGACCTGTGGGGATCCTGTGACTGAATGAACCTGCATTAGGACCTGTGGGGATCCTGTGACTGAATGAACCTGCTTTAGGACCTGGGGGGATCCTGGGGGGGATCCTGTGACTGAATGAACCTGCTTTAGGACCTGTGGGGATCCTGGGGGGGATCCTGTGACTGAATGAACCTGCTTTAGGACCTGGGGGGATCCTGTGACTGAATGAACCTGCTTTAGGACCTGGGGGGATCCTGTGACTGAATGAACCTGCTTTAGGACCTGGGGGGATCCTGTGACTGAATGAACCTGCTTTAGGACCTGGGGGGATCCTGTGACTGAATGAACCTGCTTTAGGACCTGGGGGGATCCTGTGACTGAATGAACCTGCTTTAGGACCTGTGGGGAGCCTTCACCTGTGTTCTCCTCCTCTTCGTGGCGGGAGCAGGTGCAGCTGTGCAGCCGGGCTCAGCGCGCTCTCTCCCGGGGAACACTGACGGCACAGCGCCGCTCCTCAGCGTCGGTTTCGGCGGGATGTTCAGTATCTTGGCCCTGAAGTCCTCCTCGTAGTCTTCGGGTTTAAAGTGCAGGCTGCAGACCCTCACTCCGCTGTACCTGGAGACAGGTGTGTCCTCGTCGAACCGGGGATTCTGGATCGCTTTGAGCCACACTCTGCAGCGCGGAGGGTCTCTGGTCGGTAACCCGTGAAACACGACCCCCATCGACTTCGCCTCATCGTAGCCTTTACATCCGGGGACACAGCACCTCCACGGCATCCCTGCGCCGCTACAACACGCCAGGCAAAGAGTCAACACTGTGAAATATTTAAAATACGCGTTAATTCACCATAAAGATAACTTCATTTACATGATTACTACGACCGTCAGCCGAACTGCTTTTAGCTTCCGGTTCTCTTCTTCTTCGACTCATGATATTCCGGCAGGCTGTGTGCTGCGAAGCCTACTGCTGCCACCTACAGGCTGTACTATGAAGTTTGTGTTTTTAGACTGACTAGCTAGAGGACAAAAAAACAGCAAATTACTCATTTTTTTCTATATATATATATAATATATATATATATATATTTTTTTTTATAGTAGTAGTTTGTGTTATTTTTTCATTTTGTCATTTCTTCTTTGTATTCATTTGTAAATCACCCTGAAAAATGTCACACAGGTGCTGCTCAATCTCAGGCAAGGCAATATTTAAATTGGTCAGCTGCACTTTAAAGACAGAATGATCGACATGTTCCACATCAATAAATCATAAAGTGTGTCCTGTGTAAATGTGTCTCTGAGTCCTGACTGTCTACAATGAGGGAGAAGCTCGAGTCCCGCTGGCTGTGTTGTTGTCAGAGCCGTGTTTACATGGACGGGACGGCCGGCTCCTCCCTTGTGTATAAAAGCTGTTTTAGTCAAGAACTAGAGAGAAGAAGAAGAACATACTCACTGATTATTTGGATGTTAGTAAGAGTTTTTAGATCACACTCATTCTGTGTCAGTTTACATGAAATGTGAAGCTACCAGCTAACTACAGAGAGCTAACATTAGCCCTCCTCCTTCTCCTCCTCCTACCCCTCCTTCTACTCCCCCTCTTTCTCCTTCTCCCCCTCCTTCTCCTCCTCCTCCTTCTCCCTCCCCCTTCTCTCCTCCTACCCCTCCTTCTCCTCCTCCTACCCCTCCTTCTACTCCCCCTCTTTCTCCTTCTCCTCCCTCTCCTTCTCCCCCTCCTTCTCCTCCCTCTCCTTCTCCCCCTCCTCCTTCTCCCTCTCCTCCTCCCTCTCCTCCTTCTCCTCCCTCTCCTCCTCCTCCTCCTTCTCTTCCGTCTCCAGGACTTTGTGTACACTGGTGGCATCGCCGTGTTCTTCCTCATCGCCTCCATCGTTTTTGCCGCAGAAAACGGGAACACATCAATGGAGAAAACTGCTGTGGTGAGTAAACATCGACACACTGACTGACACTACTCACCTCTCCTACACCCTAACCTCCTCCTGTCCTCTCCTACCTCCTCCTGTCCTCTCCTACCTCCTCCTGTCCTCTCCTACCTCCTCCTGTCTTTCCTACCTCCTCCTGTCCTCTCCTACCTCCTCCTGTCTTTCCTACCTCTTCCTGTCCTCTCCTACCGCCTCCTGTCCTCTCCTACCTCCTCCTGTCTTTCCTACCTCCTCATGTCCTCTCCTACCTCCTCCTGTCTTTCCTACCTCCTCCTGTCCTTTCCTACCTCCTCCTGTCTTTCCTACCTCCTCCTGTCCTCTCATGTCTCCTCCTGTCCTCTCCTGTCTCCTCCTGTCCTCTCCTATCTTCTCCTATCATCTCCTTCCTCCTCCTGTCCTCTCTTACCTCCTCCTGTCCTTTCCTATCTCCTCCTGTCCTCTCCTACCTCCTACTGTCCTTTCCAGCTCCTCCTGTCCTCTCCTATCTTCTCCTATCCTCTCCTACCTCCTCCTGTACTCTCCTACCTCCTACTGTCCTTTCCTACATTCTTTTCCTTCCTGTTCTCCTTCTTTCCTTGTCTACCCTCTTCATTCCTTCATTTCCCCTCTCTTTCCTTATATTAATTTCCTGAGTATGTGCTGTGGTGAGAAAAAATCAACACACAAACCGACACTACTCACCTTTCATACCTCCTCCTGTCCTTTCCTAACTCCTCCTGTCCTTTCCTACCTCCTCTGTATATTATCAGTTCCTACTTCCTTCTTTCTTTCTCTATCTTCTTCTTTCTTTCCTCCTTTCCTTAGTCTCCTGTCCATCTTTCCTTTCCTTCTTTGCTTCCTCCTTTCCTCAGTCTCCTGTCATCTTTCCTTTGCTTCTTTCCTTCCTCCTTTCCTCTCCTGTCTCCTTAAGTCTCCAGTTTGTTATCATTTCTTTCTCGTTTCCTCCTCCAGGCGTTCGGCTTCATGGCGTCCTTGGCGTATCTCCTCGACTTCGGCCTGTTCCTGAAAAATCGTGGGTTTCCCTTTAAAAAGGACGGGAAGCTGGAGCCCAGTAACGGCGTCGCGGTGCCAGCCAACGCTCCAGAGACGGAGAAACTGGCGCCGGCGCCCAATGGGCCAGAAGAGGCCTGATTTAAACGTTCCCCCGTGTGCATTCGTACGCTGCACGCCGAGGTCAGAGATTATTTTGTGCACTATTCCTTTAAGATGACGACGAGAGGCGGAGCTTCTGCGGCCGACAGCTGACCTGGTTTATTAAGTCGTTTCATATCCTGTTTTTGTCTCTTCCACGCCACGTGCTGCACTGATCAGTACATGAAAAATATAACCAATCACAGCGCAGAGCGTCTGAGCTCAGTTTGAGTTTTAAGAGAGAACACACACATTGTTTCAAAACAGGAAGTCTGTTTCTTATGTTTGACGTATTTTCAGGTTTTAAAGGGTCGTTCTTTTTACATCTCGTTTTACCTCAGTAGAGCCCCGCCCCCCTAACCCTCGCTCACGTCTCCTCCTCACAAACATCATGAAGTCTGTTCAGTGAAATCCCCGTCATGCACACCGACTGTTGTAAATACTCATCTTACTTTGAGAGTTTGTGGTAAACTCCGCCCACTCGTGATGTCAGAGAGTCTTTAATGTCTTCTATCTGAAGCAGCTTCATCACCAGAGACGGGCCTCGTGTTTCGACCTTTGACCCCTACAGCTACACTGTTTGTACTCGTGATGTTTTATACTTTTTATTGATTTCAGCGTCTGTGTTTTTGATCAATCACGTCGTGCCTTCTGTCCCGCTGATTCAAACGTCTTAATCACTTTGTTTTTAATTTAATTTGTGTGAAGGAAATAAAGCCTGAACATGAGCGGTTAGTGTTTATTAACGGCGCTCTTCGTGCTGGCAGCGAGCGCCACAGTCTGTAAATATCAACGTTTTATTTTTAGAGGTTTTTTGGGTTCAAAGTTCAAACATTTCCAACGTCTCAGCCAGCGTCAGCGTCTCCTCATTGTTGTCGACCAACCTGAAATCAGAAGTCCCGCCAAATTCTCGATCCTGATTGGTCTGTGGGGGAGAAGGGACAGTCATCAGAGGCTCGAGTCCTCCAAGCATCGGGTTCAAATCCGACCAGTGACTCCTTTCCTGCATGTCATTCCCCACAAGATGTTTTCTGTTTTGTTTTTTGGACTTCTGGCGCTCTGTAGAAAACCGACCAAGCTTTCATTTTATTTGCAAGAACGCATTCCCCTCAGCCTCCAAAGACACGATCCTTTCGTGATTATTTTAATCCATGTTTTTATTCTGATGCCCAGGACATGAAGAGGACTGCAAGACTTCTCAGAGCTCTCATGTTTCTACTTTTCTGATTAAACGACGTCATTAAGGTGTAAAAATCAAAACGTCCAATGAGTGAAATCTGATTTTCTGCTGCAAGATATTCAAATGAATGGGAATAATCACGAGATGGAGAAGTGGGACGCTGATGTTTTATGAAACGGAGACTGATCCGTCTGAGTGCAGAAGACTTGAAACCTGAACGGTGGCCGTCACAGATTCAAACCTTCTCACAGACTGATTCACAGTTTGAACTTATTCTGTGCTTGTTCACTTTAATGACATGAATAATAACTTGACAATCACAGATCATTTTCCTAACCAATCAGAGCACACTGAAAGAACGTTCTGTCAGATGATCCCAGATATCTGTTTTTTTTATATTCCAGCATTTTTCACCTTCAAACGTTCAAGACAGTGAAGTTTATTATGTAGAAATAAAAAGCCTGTGGTAGATATATAAATCTATATGTTCATGATCTCTTCTATCGTGTGCCTGTTTTCTACACCTTTACACACTTAATACTGTTTATAACAGATCTCACTTTGTCTGTGAGCATGTTTGATATCTCATCATTTTATCATCCTTTTGTTTAATAAACACATTTTCAAGGAATAAATGGGCTCGTTTGTTTGAATCGTTTGTTTGAAGTTTCAGAAACTGCCTCTACATTGACTCAGAGGAGGAGGGGGGGCGGGGCGGGGGGGCACAGCCCTCTGCAATGTTTTGAATTTGGACTGCAGTACCCATTTTAAACACTAGGTGTCACAGTTACATATTGCTCCTTTAAGATGAGAGTACTTTACTTGCTGTGTGCTTTTATTTTGAAATACAGTAAGGCCCTTCCTGTAGATGGAAAGTTGGACATGAGGTTAAGCTCAGAAACAGGAAGTGGTTAGGAATCCCAAAGTGAGGTGAAACAGCTCAAAGGAACGATAACAAAGGTCAATGTGTGATGTCATAAGGTCAATGTTTGATGTTATAAGGTCAATGTGTGATGTTATAAGGTCAATGTGTGATGTCATAAGGTCAATGTGTGATGTCATAAGGTCAATGTTTGATGTTATAAGGTCAATGTGTGATGTTATAAGGTCAATGTGTGATGTCATAAGGTCAGTGTGTGATGTCATAAGGTCAATGTGTGATGTCATAAGGTCAATGTGTGATGTCATAAGGTGGATATTACTGTCTGAGAGTTTGTTAAAGTGAAATGAGACATTCAAAGATGCAGCAGTGTTCTTCTTTTACATCACTGAGACTACAGGGAGACACTGAGGACGAGTATCTACGGAGAGCCTGAAGGGACAAACATGAGAATAATTGTGATAAAAAAAACATTTAATAGATTCATTTCAGACCAGGGTTAACAGCGATTAACTAGTTAACGCTGACAGCCCTAATCTGTATGTTTGGCTGCTAGTTGTGATGTTTACTGCTGCTGCCTGTCTGGACCTGGACACTCATGAAATATAGATTTGTAATGAGTGAGAGTTTTATCATGTTGTTTGGGAACCTGTCCCTTAAAAACAAAAATGGTCCAAAAAAATTGTAAAATGGTCCAGCAGGCTGATCTGAGAGTCACAGCTAAACACAGAATCCCTGTACATTAAACAGTTACAGAGGACATCCGGCTCCATTTTAAAAGATGAATCCCACCCCTTAAATAATATATTCCAGCTTCTTCTGTCCTAGCTTTGTCTCAGCAGCCAACAGTGTGATGAACAAGATATAATGCAGAAGCAACATTCTCTTGGAGCAGTACATTTATTTTACTTTAGTTGACCGAGGGTATAGTCTGATTTGTATCTTGTTTTTATTTGTCTTGTTCTTACTATGGGTTACTTTATTATTATAATATATAAATAAAATAAAGTATAATATTATACTTTATCTTTGTTTTTTACGGACGGGCTTTTCTCTTTAGTACTGAGCACAGTTGTCACTTCATGTTTTGTCCTGTGTTGTCGTTTTATGTGTAAAAACAGCCTTACCTTACCTTAGAGTTCTTCACTTTTATATATCATCTTTTGTCATCATTGTTTTTCTTAAGCTACACAAAACAGCGCCCACTTTGGATTTCGGTTACGGTAAATGACAGCCTGGAAGGACAAAGCGGGTACTGCACCCTGACTTGAAATGTTTGGTGACTAAAGTGAATAAAACATATCACACTTTAAAAATGTGGTAAAAGTGTAAAAGTAGACCCGAGTTTCAAGAGGAAACTGCCCACTTTCCGGTCAGTCTAACATCGAATCAATGATATAAATGTAATATGGTCATTTAAGTTAAACATTTAAGCTAGTTTTTACTCTGTTAGCTAGCAGCGATGGCGGGAAACGTTTGGGTTGTGGATCAACAACAACAGAAGCTTCAGACATCATCCAGTCCTGGAGATGAAAATAAACTCTGGATAATGTGAGTAACATACACACGTTGTCTGTCTTTGTCTGCTGGTTTTCTGTTCATGAAGTTAAATGGTGGATGTGGATGAATTTCATCAGTTATAAAGCAAACTATTTACGAATAACTATCAATCAGATGGAATCAAAACCAGCCGTATTTCATGTATGTAGTAAATCAACTTCAACATCTTTCTGAATGATCTCACATTTCAAATAAATACACTTTGAGCTGAAACAATCAAAGAACTCTTATTTAATTTTTAATAGAAACACAAGTATTTGTTTTTTTTCCATATTATAATGAATCACACAACAAATGGAAAATTGTGTCAAAGGATAAAAGATAGCTTTAGCTTAAATTATAAAGTGAAATATTTGGATCCCCCTGTGAAGTAATAGCTGATCCATTAATCTGATAAATAAAATATTAAATTGAAACCTGTTAAAGAGGTCAACAGTAAACAACACAATATATTACATTATGTACAGTCTGATTCCTGCTGGACACAAACAAACATCAATCACAATATTCAGTCAAATGTTTCAGGTGATCACTGGTTGGGTCCTGTTGTGGGGCATTCTGGTCGGGTCTTGTGGTCTGGTCCTTTGGTCAGGTCTTCTTGCTGGGAGGTCCTGTGTTGAGGTCCTGTGGTCAGGTCCTCTGATCGAGTCCTAGTTGGGTCATCTTGTCGGGTCTTGTGGTCTGGTCCTCTTGTCAGACGTTTTGGTCGAGTTCTGGTCCTGTCATCTTGTTGGGCGTTCTGATCTGGTCTCGTTCTGTGGTCATGTGCTCTTGTCAGGCGTTCTGGTCTGGTCCTGGTCGGGTCATCTTGTTGGGAGGTCCTGTGTTGAGGTCCTCTTGTCAGACGTTTTGGTCGAGTCCTGGTCGGGTCATCTTGTTGGACGTACTGGTCTGGTCCTGGTCAGGTCCTGGTCAGGTCCTCTGGTCGTCACAGCTGCTAGATGAAGTCTGAAAGTTTAGATGAGACAAAGTGGATTTAGTTTTAGGCACAGTATTTAAATTTCCCCACCAGGGGGCTCTCAATCAAAGCAATTTCAAAACATGATGTCGAGGCTGGCGGGGAATCATGGGGGTGATTCTCTCTGCCCCCACCCCCAACCCCACCCTAAATCTAAGTAGACCGAAGTCATGCAGAACGGGTGAAACCGATCTGAGGAAGAGAATATGTTTACCGACAAGCTAATGTATCCGAGTATAATTTACATGACGTTTTTATCCCAGCAGCTCAAACAGCAACAGTACGGCAGCTTTCAGCAGCAGCTCACACTTCCTTATATAACGTAACATCCGCTGTTTCCACGGCAACAGTAAACATGTTGTGACTGTTATTGCGGCTCTGATCTGGCGACCGCCACGACACGTCCCGTTACAGCTTGAGGATGAAGGGTTTCTCTGGCTTTGATAACTGTTATATTTGAGGTAATTTAAGAGCTCAACAATATAACTTAGTTTTAGTAATTGTCCATTCATTTATATATTTGTTTTAAAAAATCAATCTATATATTATACATTTAACTTTATAGAGGTTAACATGGAGGTAAATATGTTTAACAGGAAAAGGGATTGAAATGTAATTTGATGTAATGACTATAAAAGACCACCAGATGTCACTGTGGTGCTGTCTGAGTTTTAAGCACCAGAGCTTCAGGTATACTTTAGTTTTAAACATGAGGTCAGGCCTGATTGAACACTTTCAATCTGCTTGGATTTATTTAAATGTGAAGTCACAGAGATACTAAGTAGACTTAAAGGTCCAATCAGTGAGATGTGTAGAGAGTGAAATGATTAATATTAATATCCTTCAAACTGTCTGAATTGCACAAATCAGTTGGCGACATTTTCTATCACTCCCCACTCGTGTAGAGCGTGAGATGATAAAGGTATCTTACTCTCTGATCATTCAGGAAACATGCTATGTTGAAGTGCTGGCTTCTCTGACAACAATGCAGCAGCCAGTATGTCCTCCTTCTAACTTTAGATTCTGCTCCTGAATGCTCTGGATTTGTTTGGACCAGAGAAGGTCGGCGCTTTTAAGACACCCCCCCACACGGCCGTTTTGGACGCCCCTCGGTTCACCAGATATGAGAGCAGTTATCAGGTCAACAGGTGTTGCAGCGATGGAAGCGGTCAAGAGAAGTGGTTCAGATAGAAGTGATTGTACCCGACCTAAAAAGCCTCTGCATGTTTCTAATAAGCTCCACGAGCAGAAACGTGCTCAAACTAGGATCAATATTGGAGATGCTTTTGAAAATGGAGAGCTTCACCCCTAAAGTCCAGTTCGTTTGACTAGGGCGAGTGCTCCGTCCTGTGCTCAAGCACGGTACACTTGTGCGCCCTAAAAGGCAGTGACAAATTAAACTAAATACACCAGAACACAGAAGCTTCCTCCGATTATTGATCCATCCCCCCATGTCTTAGAGAGGAGGAAAAACTGTGATTTCTTAAGATACATGATGTAACATCGGTTACACCAAGAGGAGTATGATGTTTTTTTCAGCAGTTAAATTGAGAAATGTTCCTGTCACTGATTGGCTGATAGGACAGCTTCCTGTTTCTCTGTAACTCTATATTCACTCATCAGAGATTACTTAAGTGTTTATTTGTGGGTTATATTCCTGGTATCAGCTGAGTGTCTGCCATTTAACCACGTCATGGAAACAAACTGTTCTCCATCAGCAGCTGGGCTTGAGCCGCCTCTGACACATGAAGGGTTAAAGGTTAAAGTCATTTTCAATCCTGTCTAAATATATAGCATCAGATCACCAGGACAGTTGGAAATGTATGTGATCTGTAGGTTGATAAAAAAATGAAATCATGGTATTGTCCCGATATCGTCCAATACAGATGTTTAAGTGGTGCATCCCTAATCCAAAGTGTGAGATGTGTGATCCATTGCACGCTTAATATTTGTGATGTGACTGTCAGTGACTCACTTCATTCGACCTCTGCTGCTTTCTGGAAAAACATCCTGTAAAGAAAGGTGCAATGAAAGAATCAGTGAGATGAACCAAAGACAGGACGTAACTGGAACATTTCAAAGAAATGACTGTAATGTTATTCAGCTAATAATGACTTCATCAGATGATACAGGAGCAGGCAGGCGGCAGAGTGGGTGTTGTTGTAATAAGTAAAAATGACCTTTTGATGACGATAGAAGCGACTGTGATGATGAGCAGCGAGTGCAGAGCGAAGACAACCACACGGATAATCAGCAGTTTGTTGACTGTTTCAACATCCGAACCTAAAACAGACAGAACACAAAGCTGTGAACACAGAAACATAGCAACAAAAAAACTAAATATACTGATTTCTTACTGAACAGACTTTACTGTTTACCATCAGACTAAAAGAAAGAGTTTTATTTTGAAATCTTAAAGGAGCAGTATGTAACGCTGACCCCTAGTGTTTAAAACGGGTACTGCAGTCTAAATTCTAAACATTGTAGCCAGTTTGAAGGATATTAATGGTAGTTAAAATGGACAATATATAATTCTGAAGTAAAAATTTAAGTAAAAGAATAAAAGCCGAATGGGAGAAGTTAACTACAACTCCCAGAGTGCATTTCAACAACATAAATCCAATCAGAGCTCCATCATATTTAAACTGACTTTTTCCTTAGTTCTGTTTGAGTTCAGTGAACACAGCAAAGTTTATCGTTAACTCATGACCTCTGACTCTCCTCATCATCAGCTGAGGCTTATGGGTATTGAAGTATTTAGACCAGTCTACTAAACTGACCTTATTAGTCAGAAACTAGACATGAAACTGGAGCTCAGAACTGAAAACTCACCAAACAAACCTTCCTCTTCCTCTTTAGCTGTCACTCTGAAGTGGTACGGCTGAGATGGGAAGCCAATCTTTGTCGTCAAAGCACAGGTGTAGTACCCAGAATCCTCTGCAGTCAGAGGGCCGAGCTTGAGGGCAGGGCCAGACTCTGAAAGGACGTGGCCATCTCTGAGCCAGGTGACCGCCAGTGGGTGAAAGAGACAGGGTGCTGTGCAGCTCAATGTGACGGTTCGACCTTCTGTTATGTTTCTGTCACCACCAGAGTTCTTTATCTTCAGTGGTGTCATGTCTGAAAAAGAAGTTAGATAAAGAATCAATAAGCACCTCCTCTTATTCAACACATCCGTTTTACAATCCGCCTCCTCATCTGTGTTCTACTCTTCATATTGACAAGATGGCGCCGCACTAGTGGTTGCTTGTAAAAGCAGCACTTACCCATTGCTGGTTTTTTCCTGAGTTCTACGACATCTTAACTGCGTAAGTGCTGCCGCTGCACACAACCTGACGCGAGTGAAAACTCAAGCCCCAATGACTGTACACTGCACAAAGCATGCTGGGATACAAAGTGACGCAGAACAGGCTGTCGGCGCCACTTTTCCCCATCTTTCCTCCGTCATGAGGTCATCATGGTGCATTTAAAGAACATGGTGGTATGCTGTTCAGTAGATACAGTTTGTGCACACTTACTGACCGTTGATGACCACGAGGG